GGTTTCGACCGTCATCACGTCGCGGCAACGATAAATTACCCATGAACGAGCGGTGTGATTGCTATTAGCAAGGTGCTACGGCTAGGTTCGCAATTATGGTCGGTGGTTCGTTACTGTTAGAACCGCAAATAATTGGACGAATTTGCGGATCAGCGGAGCGGATGCTTGCGAGGGCATTAAATTGGGAGGGGATGCCGGGATGCCGTTCCATCATCCCGAATACTTTGCATCGGGGACGTCGTTATGATATTAATTCGTCCCCTCGCGTCTTGGAACAATTTACTTGGCTCGATGCATCGTAATTGGGCCGCGATCAGGATGTAACCGCGCCGCCAATTATCGTGGCTTCGAAAATCCGATCGTTCACGTACCGCTAATTGGGCCACTATGTATCCTTGCGTTTAACGCGTGCGTCTATTTTTATTCTATTATCGTAAGAGATGAAGGAGGAAATAAGAAACGAAAGAAAAATTTCGATAGGTGGAAATTTAGAATAAAATGTGGAAAGCTTCTACGAAGAGATTCGATCGAAGGGAGAGAGTGGAACCGTGAGAGGAGGAAAATACAATGAAACGAATGCGAAAGAGTCCGCGAGGGGTTTTACTCTAGCTTCTAAAGGAGGAAAGTTTGAAAAGAGCGAATTTGCCAGTGAGAGAATAAAAAGGCCGTCTTCTGTCGCGCGCAATTGGAGTTTCTCCTCTTTCCAACGCGCGCTAGATTTAAATTAAAATAATTCCTGCTGATAATTTTATCAGCAGTAACGACTTGAAGAGGTTGGAAATTGATCGGGAATCACCTATATCGGAATAGATAGGAGGAGATTTGTCGCGACAACTGTTCATCATTCGCGTGCTTTTTATCGTGCTCTTTACCGTGGCATAAATGTCACACCGTGGCAACGATTCGAGACGATAAATCTCATTTTCGCGCGGTATCGCGATTGTTCGAAGATCCGCGTATATTTTGCCGGCGGACGTCATGGGAGGGAAAAATAATGGTAATAAATCTCGACGGGAGCGGGACAGGTAGAATGAAAGTGAATAGCTCAGCATAGAAAAGTAATTAGCAATAAATTCTCGAGATGTTTGCGTACCTCCTTTTTCTTTACGCTGCCATGGGTAACGCGTGGAACCGGCCTTTCGACGTTACGACGAAACGCAACTACGAAGATGTGGCGTTCAAAGGAAAGAGAAAAAGGGAAATTGAAAAGGAAGACGCAGAGGGAGGCACGCGTTATTGAGAATAAGTCTCGTATACATTTTTACGAGATAAAAAGTTCATTCAATTTGTGACTTTTAATTAATATTAAAAGCAAGTAAAACATAAATTGATTGTGGAGAATGAAATTTTCAATATGTGAAATTTTGATTATTTTTGAGATTTGAGAAAGAAAAACGAAAGGTGTGCAGAATATTTAGGAGATAATCGATAGAAGAAAGGGATATATTGATATACGCAATATTTATTTCGTGCGCGTTAATATCGATTTTGAATAAATTTTTATAGAATCGATAATTGCAATTAACGATTCAAATATTTGATTGTATTTATTATCGATCAAACATAAATTTAATTGAATCAATAATTAATTATTAAAATTCCATCGCCGAGATATTAATATAAATTGTATATTAATTGAATATCATCTGTTGTAGTATTAAATAGATAGATTTATGATTAGGAGAAGCTTTTTCAGCCTATATATACCCTTGGATTTTTAATGGAGCATTTATCCAAAGTGGAAGAAATATGGCGAAGTAAAGCTTAAATAATCGAACGAGAGATATCAAAGAGGATTTGTATCGAACGTATTACATCGTTTAAAGCCGATTTCGATACCAAAGAATATATGTTTTCGCCTTGTAAAATAACGTTTAACACGTACAACTGAATAAAGAGAATTGACTTTGCCCCATATATATATACATATTCGTCGTCTGGCACGTAATACTGGAAGATTTATCAAGCTTGGCTCAGCACTGTTCCAAGTTCCTGATATGCATTCGCATGTCGCACAACCTTATCCGGTGACTGAACTCGAATGCTATTGCATCCACGATCGTTCACGTTGGTTTTCTAGATCCACAAATCCCCTTTTTCGATCCCCAAGTTACGCTTTCCATCAAAGCAAAATCTATCTGTGAATCGTCGCGCATCATTTGGGAACATTTTCTATCGCCATTCCCCCGAATTAGATTGAATCGAAGAAAAGAAAACATTGCACCCCGAACGTCACGTCACGATCTAAATTTGAAACTTCAAAATTTAAGAACAATTTTCTCTCACTGATCGCCAATCTTATTAATCATATATCAACTTTCAACTTCATCCAAACCAATGATTATCATTTCCAAGATCTTCCAATCTTCTTTCCAACTTTCTTATCGACCGTACGCTTATTCGATCGAAGATTATCGCCTCAACTCTCTGCTCTGCCAAAGTTCAAAGAGAGTTCAAACTTTTCTCCGCTCTCGATGACTATCATTCGATTCTGCAAAACCAAGTTCCGATCTTCTTCCGAGTTTCTTATCAACTCCGATTGGAAATTAGAATTTCTCCGTAAAATATCCTCTTCCGTAAAATTCGAAACTTGATCATCACGTTTTCGTTATGTCATAACGAGTCGAAACGAACGAACGAAATCGGTAATATCGAAACGAGGAGGGATAAATTTTCGAATAACGATAATTAACGTTCGTTATGAAACCAGATGAAACGAGTGCACGGAGAATCAACGGGGAGGAGGCGGAGAAGAGGGGACAGAGAATAGAAGGAGGAAAGAAAAAAAAAAGGGTTATGGGTAATAACGTTATACACAGCGTGTACGTGAGCGTTCGGGGGAGGATGGCGCACAACAGTCGCCAGGATAAATTCATTCGTTATTTCCGGCTCGATTGTGCTGCCCTCGGTCAAAAGCTGCGCCTGGAATTAGCTAACCGGAAACCTGGTTCCCCCGTAACGCGAACCGCGCCACCGAAAAATTTCACAGGGAATGCTCGTTTAATTGTGGAACGTGGAAACAATAATTATTCGATTTCTCTCTGTATTTTTTTCCTCCTTCCCCCTCCCTTTCTTTTTCTTCGTTTCCTCGAAAACGTTTGATTAATGGAAATTTACGCCATGATTCACCGTGGTGCGTGGAAACGCTGTTAAAATCGTTGATTAATCGTATCTTACGACGTCATTCTGAAACTAGGACAAATGGGACGGTTCCTGTGACGATGCAAAAATGATATCGTGAATATTTATTATTCCGCTCACGTATTCATCGAATTTATATATTGCTATATTATTAATATTTGTAAAGAAAAAAAAAAAAAGAAAGAAAGAAATTAATATTTGTCGTGACATTAATAATAGTATAGCAATATTTGATAGAGGGAGCGAAATAGGAACGTCACTGGTCAAACAACGGGAACACCAGGATTTATTCGTCCAAATATTTTATACGTTGCGTATTATATTTCGTTGGAAAGATAACGCGATACGCGATCAGACAACTGGAATGCCATTAAAATACGATCATTAACACGATCATATATACGTATATACAATATATAATATACATATATAATACATTAAGGCGTTGTAGAGAAATGTATTTGGCACGCGTTTCATGCGTGCACCATTCATCAAATATCGAGAAAAACTTTTTTTCATCGATTTTATCAAACCGTGATTCCGAATTTCGTAGCGCGAATCCGCATAGGACGGAACATATATATATATAAATCAGGTATTGGCCCTTGGTAAAATTATCGAGACCGGTTTCGAACGATCGGTACACGGCACATGGAAAATCGAGTGTCACTTCTAAGCGTGAACAATGAACGAAATATCGGGCGATATACCACGGATGGCCTTCGAATCCGATTGATTCCTCGGACGGAATATTCATTGGGCGTTGGTGTGCGTGGCGGAATATAACGGTGGGAGGGGGACAAAAGACCTTTCGCATGGAAATGAATCGCGATCGAGGCCGAAGTGGCTCTCGTTCATCGACAGACAGCCGCATACCCTGGGTAATAATTCTGAAAAATTGTTCCGTTCCCTGAGCTCACGGTCTGAGATTTCAGCGCATAAATCGCCCTCGTTCCTGGATCCCACGTGATATATCGGTGTTTGCAAGTGTTCCCTGAGAGGCATTAGGATCGTATATTCTCCAAGTATTGATACAGAATGGCTTTTCCGGTCGCCGCCTATAACGATATATTCCATCCTTCTCCCCTATTTTCACAGTCCATCGTATATACGATTTAACGTTTCGCATCTTAATCGAGCTGCTTCTTCTTTTTTTTCCCCGAGATTAATTTTTCTTTTTCCTTTTTTTCTTTTTTCGAAGCTCGACGTTTTCAAGCTCGATCGATGTCCGTGATCGCGACAAAGTTTTATCAAAGCCCGTGGTCCACACCTAATTATGTTTCCATCGATAAACCCAGTCGCCTTCTAAGCGGGTTTCTCCCAGGGAAGAAAGTTCGTTAAAGTTTTTAAAAAATTCGCATTAACGTAGGAGTTGGTATAGCCGCTGGCATAGCCAAACGTGAAATTAGTTTTTATCTTCGTTATGCAACGACCGAACTTATTAACGAACCCATCGACTTTAAATCAATCGACTATATCTTGAAAAAGTTTATCCAATTATCGACGATAATAAAAGAAGAAAAAAGAAAAATATCGATCGAATCCGTTCCACGTATCTTTATCTTTATATTACGAATCGACGATATCGTGATACCGATCTTAGATAGACCGTGTTTTTTTAATAAACTGTGAAACAACGGAGGATCCAATTTTACGATCGTCGTTCCATTTATTTCGATATTTTGCCGTATAGCGTGGAAACGGGAGACACGTTTGATAAGAACCCTTTTCAGGTAGGTTCGCTGGTAATTGGAACATTGGGCGTGTAGCAGAGTTGGCTAACTATGCATAGCGTTAGTATTCCGCGGTCGCCAATGCTTGGATCCAATTTAATGTTCTGCTCGCTCCTTGGATTTCAGATCTGGACACGATGTTATATGGATACACGAACAACATATATGTGCTGGACCACACTCCTGAATCGCTGCCGGTGAGTACGATTTCGAACAAGCCAGTTAGTCGCCTGTTGTTACTCGCCTATTCGACCTCCCTTGTGCTCGTTCGTTTAAGTCGATTGCTGGCGGGTAGTATCATAATTGCGTTTCACGGTTTCGAAATTAATACGGTTGTTGAACACGCACGGGGAGAGGGGGGAGAGGGGAAGGGGAAGGGAGAGAGGGGGCAGGGAAAGATCGACCCGACCCGCTTTGACCCCGTCCAATTGGAATGCGCGCCCAAGGTGGAAATAATCGGCCGATCGATCGGTAAAAGTGAGGATTTTCAATTTCGAAATTGTGGTAATTTAATTTCGAAAATTTTAAAATTGCAACGACACGCGCGGCGTAAAAAAGGCAATTAATTTAGCCCCCTCGGTAGTCCCTACGATTCAAAATAATTTAACTTTTTGCATGATATTAATTCCCCCAAAGGTATTATACAATTCCCTTGTATAATAATTTCAATTAACCAATAGTCACGAATCGTAGATCGAATCATTTCTCTTTTACAATTTAGCGAGGTAATTCGCTTTAAGAACTTTATCAGTAGCTTGTAATTAAATTGCAGATGTTTGCGCGATATAAAATTTTTACGAAGATATAAAGTTTTGCCTCGTTCTTCTATGTGTATGTATGTATAATGCTTTCTTTCCACGTTGTTCTGAGTTTAAATTTTGCACAAGTGCTACTCGTAATATTCGCGCGACTGGAATAAAATCTCCAATCGTACGGGGGTAGGGGGTATACCGAAAGCTACGAAGTTAAATAAAATAAAATCGTTCGACGAGTTTCACGAAGATTGTACAAATTGTTTGATTGATGAATCCGACGATAGAAACGCAAAAGTCAGAAACAAGCGTTATCTTCGATTCACGGTTTATCGCGGAAACGGATAGCGGAAAATCGAACGATTCACCGAGAATTTAATTAAATTCGACGATACCGGATCGACTTTGTTTCCAATTAAAACTCGCAGACCGCGTATTTTGATTAACAGTCGAATTTAATAATAATCGGGCACGCTCGCGCAGCGGTGGGGAATTTTCTCGCGACAATTCGGATGAAACAACGAGAACGCGTAAATTTCGTGAATAAATTGAATCGATACCGGTTGTAATATTAACGAGGTGTGAACTGCAAGAGGAACGTAACGAGAATATATATATATATATATGGTGCACTCTACTTTTCGGATAAATTGCAGCTATCCCCTTTGTTCCGGGTTAACGATGAAAAAGAGAGAGAGAAAGAATTTATATCGTTTCCATAATTGAAAGAGCATGAAATATTCTATTCACAGGAGAGCTACTAACTCTGACGCGAGCGCCTTAATTATCCTCGTCAGTGAACCGATCAAAATTTGTTCTTCTCGTTAGGCAAGATATTAGTCTTTTAACATTCCACGTAGTATAGTCAATTAACGTAGAAATATCCCTCCCCTTCGTAATTTTGCAATGATGATTTATTTAAAAAAAGTTGCATTTGAACTTGCAATAACGAATACTATTAACACATTTGAATTTGCCATTAAAAAAAATTCAAAACAGATTCCCCAGATGCAAATATAAATTTTTGATTTAGATAGAAAAAAAGAATAATACGGTGAAAAGTGCAATGAAATTCAAAATAGCTGTTTCGATTTCACGCTTATAGGCAACGCTTGTATTGAACGCCTATACGAAAGAAAAATCCAGATATGAAATATTAAAAAAAAAAAAAAAAAAAAAA